CCATTAGACCACTTTACAAACTGCTGACTTTTTCTATCACGGATTAGTAGATAACGTCTTTTTTGAGTTGGTGGCTCCAATTTTGATCGATCTGTTGTGTCATTGTCTTCGAACAGGGCACAAAAATGCCTAATCCCGAATATTCCAGCCCTGTAGCAGCATCTCGTTATTGCTCCAAAGAAGTAGAGACGTTGGAATAACGACGCCAACCCAACTTTGACTCCAGGGTCTAGTTGGCCTTAGCGCAGGGGTACGAGCTTGGGATATCCACTTTAAATTGACCTTGTGTCACATCTCGTTACACTGTGGTATGAGTAAATACCAGTAACCTTCCCTTTTGGATTAGCGGCTACAATGTTTATCTTTCTATCGGGTGTTTGTTTTCGTGCAAAAAAGAATTAGGATGTCTTGTCACAGGAATTCCAGCTCTGACAGCACCTCAATTTAAACCAGCTTCTTTTATGTTTAGGTATAGAAAGATACAAGCCAGTTTTTCGCCACGATTAGAATTACATCAGATGAGATATCGGTTGCCAAGCCCTGGTGATCTAGATTTTGGGAGGTGCGTCTATGGAATGCTTCATAGAGTATCACCCTGTAAAATTTAGTTTACCTCCTTTTTTTTTCTTCATGATCTAAAAGAATTAAAATAGCATTTTTAAATTTAGAATATACAAGGCGTATCCAAAATATTTTGAGGGGAGGCTTCCTCAGATCAAAACAAGGATAAAAGTCCATATAAATATATGTTCGCAGTTTAAAGAAAGTTTACGCTAGATGGCGCTGTGCTGTCATGCCGACTAGGTTACATTTGTCATTCGTGTATATTTGTGACTGGTCTGTCTTCAACGTTCAACATGTGTAATAATGTGTTAACTGAGAAGTGTTCCGATTAACAATGGCAGGATCTTCATATCGTGAGCAGGCAGATATGATTTTTGCATACGGATGCACGGATGGTAACGGACGCGAGGCTGCACGGCTGTATCAGATTGCGTTTGCAGACCGAAGGCAGCCGAATCAACCAAACTTTGCTGCTGTTTATCGTCGCGTTGCTAAGACAGGATCCGTTGCACAACAAATTATGGATCGGGGAAGACCAAGATCCGCCCGTACGTCTGGCTAATAGAAAATGTTAATAACTCAAAATAAAACGAAGGATTTGTGGACATGTTTGTATGGATTGTTGTCCTTGTTTTGGTATGAGGAACACGCTGAAAAGTTTGTAAAAATATTTTTGATACACTCTTTATGATTAAAGCGAATGAAATCTGTAAACTACCCTTTAAAAAGAAGATTTTCTCGATTTTTTTTTTTTTTTACTTCGTATGAATCATGATGTAGGCCGCCTTAACCCATTAGGAGGACAGCTTTAGTTCAGCAGGAGGGCGAACTTAAGTCATCAGACGGCCACATTAAATCATGAGGCGTGCCACCTTAAATCACTACAAGGACAGCCTTAACTCAGCAGGCGGGTCGTCTTAAATCACGAGACAGGCCACCTTAAATCAGTTCGAGGGCAGCCTTAATTTATCGGGCGGCTGCGTTAATTCAGCAAGCGAACGAGCCGCCTTAAATCATCAGTCAGATCGCCTTAAATCATCAGGTGGTTCGCCTTAAATCATCAGGTGGTTCGCCTTAAATTATCAGGCCAACCCTTTATATAATCTGATTCTATTTACTGAAGCTAGAAACCCTAGCTATTAAAGGAAAATTGTTTCGTACCATGTTTCGGGATATAATTTGTTTACTGCAAAATAAATTAGAAGCTGCTTGAACTGCGGGAATTATAGACAACGGAAGTGAACACAAACAAAAGTCACAAAGAAACTGACTTGCGAGTGAAAATTTGAAACAACAGTGGGGAAACACCAAAGAGACAGGTAGCAGTTAAAAAGAGGTAGACATTAGGATCTATTTAAATCTTATTAAAGAGAGATAGAGCAAGAATTTATTTTTATTTCTTCATAAAAACTTTTATTATTATTATTATTATTATTATTTCTTTGGTTTTCTGTTGTATAAACATTTCCTTCCGGGTCCCAACCAGAGACTTAAGGTCAGAAATGACCCCATGGCATTTTCCACTGATCTTTTGTGTCATGGGACCTTACCCATAATAACATAATGGACTATTCCATACGTAATAAATACTGCGCCTCAAGAGGAAGCAGGGAGTTCAGTCGGGCGACCGGCTGACCGGCTGGTCGGTTGAACTCTCTGCCTTCGGGCGGGGAGGAACCCGAACGAGGCTACGCCGAAGGGCGGAGTCTCTTTCGGGGAGGTAAACCGACCCTGAACCCGTTTATACGGGTTCAAAGGGAATATTTTTGGCCGAGCCCACGGGCTCGGAGATCCCATTTTAAACCGGCCTTGTGCCACATGATGCCCTCGTGGGGGGGGGACTAAATACTGTTCAGTCTGAAGTCTGGAGTGAGGTCCGTCAGAAGTCCGTCAGGAGTCTGTCAGTCAGTGAGAGCGAGCGAGTCAGTCAGTCGAGTCAGGGGCAGTCCGAAGCAGAGTCGCGTTCAGACAATTACTACAAGACATTGGAATAGTGATACTGGTCGAGACTACATTGTTCTCTCTACTAAACCTGATTGTTCGTACTAACACTTACAACTTCTCTGTATATATTCCTGTTTGTAATATATCTGTGTTATTCAATATCCGTGTTCGATTTCTTCTTTATTGGTTCTACCTTGGACTATCACCGTGGTACAAGGACCTGGACCATAACACTTCGTCTAAAAAAAAACGTATATCTAGGATCGCTCAAATTTTACATCGATAAAGTTTTTCGTAATGTGTGAGCTGTACTTGTGAGTAAAATTATTTGTATTTCTTTAAGGCATGGGCTATCAGGAATCCCTTCAATGAATCTATCGGATTTTTTTTCCAATCAATCCGATGGCTCCAACTACAACTGGAATTACTGATGTCCACGTTTGCCACATTTTTGAGATTTCCACTTTAAGCTCCTTGTATTTTGATAATTTTTGATCTTCAAAGTTACATTACAATCTACAGGGACTGCCATATCAATAAGAAAGCACATTCTGTAATTCCTCCTGTGTTATTTTTATATCCTCAAGGATGAGTCTAATATCCCGGATAGCAGCCTCGAAATCATTTGCATTATAATTCAAGTTTATTATCTCTGACTTGGACGAGTTAATATCGAGTCCAAGCAGAGATAAAGCAGGAATAACTCGTCGGAGGTCAGCAGCTACGGCCTCGATAGATCCTCCCAACGTTGCATCATCAAGATATCATATATTGAAAAGAGAGGCGATGGAACGAGCTACCCCGTCAATAGCCATCGCAAATAGTAGCGGACCAAGTGGATCACCTTGCTGGATTCCAATAGCAGAAGAGATAATATTATCGGAGGTGATCAACATACTTGGATGATTATACGAAAGATCATCCAGTTTAAATATGGAAGAAGTCCGTTGATGGCAAACTTCCAGGGTATGATCTCTTCTGATGTTATTGAAAGCGTTTATCATATCCAATTTTAATAAGATACGGGGGTGGAAGCCGGTGATGTATTCTCGGAAAATAATCTTATGGCATGAACCGCGGCTTCACATCCGCCCTGTATGCCTACACCGAGCTGGACAGGTCGCAGTTCATACCTTAAATCATTCAGAACAACACTACATGCAATTTTTGCCGCGAGTCAACGAAAAATGTTACCAATAGCGACCGGACGGATACCTCCATCTTTTTTTAAGCCGTTAAGTTGGCGGAAAATATTAAATCTGGAGCATGTTGGCATATCTCAGCTCGGAGAAGGGTATTAATAAGAGCTGTTATGGATCTTTTCAAACGTTCACCAGCTTCGGCTGTGTGGGCAGAAATTAAGTCTTTGATGTGACCAGATCGTTATTACAGATTATTACAAATCCTATCCCTTTAACCGCCTCTGAGTGGTGTTCGTACCAATCTCAGACAATTTTCTTTCTGTAAAAGTTGCAGATATTGGCCCACTCTGTCATGCTGAGTTTTATATTCAGTGGGTGCTAATACCGTGCAACCTGATACGCGATGATCAATTGTTTCTGGATATTAATCACAGAATTTGCATTTTTCAATAGGTGTACTTTGCAATTTCTACTTAGCAAGCATTGGTCCTGTGCAGCAAGAATAAAACCTTGTGTTTTCACTTTTAACCCTGCACTATGTAACCACTGATGGGTATGGGGTTTGTCTACATCAACTAGTTTGGTATGAGCAGAATGCTGACCATGAAGAGGCTTATCTTGCCATCATTTCTGCATTTGGTACATTGCATTTGCTTTTGCTTTCTTTTTTAGTTATTATTATTATTATATAAATTTAAAGCATGTTTTTACTTACCTTTTCACTTTATTATTATTATTATTATTATCATTATCATTATTATTTGCTATTATTACCAAGTTAAAGACCTTAGGTCGTTGTGTTGTTATTTTCATGTTTTATTATTTTTTTTTTTTTTTTTTTTTTTTTTTTTATGAATTTAAAGCATAGACAAAGTTTTGGAATAAGACATTTTCTGAACAATGTGTTGTTTTGTTCCATTTTTAAATTCCAGACCTATTACAAGTGCACCTATTACCACTATATTATTCTGGTATTATTATTATTATTATTATCATTATTATTATTATTATTATTATTATTATATTTCGTTTTCTGTTATCGTGTCTCAGAGAGAGTCTTGGAATGCATTTGAACAGCGAAATTAGATCAGAGCATAATTGTTTACTGATGGTGAAACCTGATCTAGTGCAGGAGCTGTACCCATTGGAACTGGGTCATTAGGAGACAATGGAAATGGTCGAAATAATTTTTATTGATTAAAACTTGGAATAGAGCTGAGTAAGCAAGGAGGATCTTTAGAATTCACATGATTTTGGTTGAAACAGCCATAACACCGTGATAATTACGTGCGAAGTAGTAGGGCCAAGGTTCAGTTGTAACCAACCGGACTTTTCTATATAAACGCGTAGTTATGCTGAAAAAGAGGCAGACAGAAGAGAGAGACGGAAGAGGCAGACGGAAGAGAGAAACGGAAGAGGCAGACGCAAGAGAGAGATGGAAGAGGCAGACGGAAGTGAGAGACAGGAGAGGCAGACGACAGAGAGAGACGGAAGAGGCAGACGGAAGAGGCAGACGGAATAGAGAGACAGGTGAGAATTAGCCCGGGCAAGAGTTGGGCTAGAGACAGTGGAGAGACGAGTTGGAGGCTCAAGAAGAAGAGAAAGTGACGTCAGAGATTGGAACGAAGCGTGCTGATGACATAAGTACCGCTGCTTCTCCTACCACGAATATTACTACTACTGTTACTACTGCTAAGAAGGAACGCCACTATAAACTTTAAACCGCGCACAGAAATCTTATTCCCCCATCGCAAGAGTCGTATATCGTTCTGAGACGATTTAACAAGTTAATCATAACACACACACACACACACACACACACACACACTCTCTCTCTCTCTCTCTCTGTCTAGTATCCAGTCTATGCGTTTTTACGTCAATTACTTTTCTTTTCTGCAACCCGTTTTCTTTTCTATACTATTCTTTTCTGCTATATAAAAGACATTAACAATTCAATCATTGAATAGTTGTTTGTCCGGCTTTATGCAGAAATTATTATTATTATTTATTTATTTTTATTTTTTTGCTGCATTCTGAATTTCTTAGCGCAGACTTCCCAGTCGTGTCTACATCTTCAGTTGGCCGTTAATGGATGAACATCACTTCTCCTTTCTTGCTCAAACCAAACACAACGTGGGCAGGAAGCAGAATTAAACCAGCAGACTTAAGCGCTGACAATTTTAAGTGCTTAGTATTTGTTCAAGGTCTAGTATCAGAAAGAGACGCAGAATTGAGGAAATTGGTACTTTCAAAATTGGAAAACCAACAAAGTATTACGATACAGAGTTTGGCAGAAGACTGCACAAGATATGTTAGCGTAAAGAAAGACTCGAAAAAGATAGAACAGTCTGGCGTTTCGCATGTAAGAAAAATACGCTACAAAAAAGAAAGTCAGTCTACCAAAAAGAATTCTAAAATTGCGAATTATCAAACAAAAAGTGAAATACCAGAGAAAAATAAACAAAAACTCCCGAAGCCATGTTTTGCTTGCGGCAAACTTCACTGGTACAGATATTGCAATTTTAGGAATAAAAAATGTTTCAACTGTGAAAGAGTGGGGATAAAAGCTTGCACTGCAGGTCAAAAATAAAGACAATAAAATAAGAAAATTAAAGTTCGACGAAGTGAACGACGGAATAAGTAGAAAATTTGTTACCGTCGAAATAAGTAATAAAAAAATAAAAATGCAACTCGATACTGGTTCCGACCTATCTATCATAAATTTGCATACGTGGAAGAAGTTGGGGAAACCAACTTTAATGAAAACAAATAAAATCGCGAGGTCAGTGTGTACTACAGTTTAAAAGTGTGAGGCCACTCCTGGTAATTTTTTAAATAGTTGTTTTGTACTTTAGATAAGAAAAAATCATTATACATGGTTTCAAAAATGTGAGCCATGACTTTTTCTTAGAAATTTTATTATGACAAAAAGAAAAAAAAATTAACGATTCAATTTTGCTCTCGTCAAGACATCCTCCTTTAGCCTTGATTACTGCAGCACACATTTGTGGCATTCATCGAAAAAAAAAAGTTTCTCAAAGTATAAGTTTGATAATTAAGTCCATTTTGTTTTCAATGACGAAGAACTCTTTTTCATTTTGACTTCAAACTTTTGAACTGTAGTACACACACACACACACACGCACACACGCACACACCCACACACATACATACATACATATGCATACACCTTCATTATGAAATGGACTAAGTCCGACAATTATTTTAATATATTTTTTGTTTATACGTTATTTTTATAGACACAAATATTTAATTAAATGCTCTGTTTTTAATAAATGGAATTAACAATATTTATCGGCTTTAATGTCCGAGGAATCTCAAAGAAAATAGTTTGTTTTTTTTTATATTTGACTTCAAGTTAACTGCGATCGATTAAAAACTTATTTTATATCCTATTCTCTATTCCCTACTACGTTCTACTATTTTTTTTTTGTAGTCCCCACTTCAAACTACTGAATAAATTGACTGATTCTTTTTTCTTGGACTAAATAAATAAATCATTGCACTTGTCTAAAAAAAAACCACAACAAACCGCTTAGCAGCGCATAGATTTAGACATTTGGGAACTTTGACGTAGTGTATTGGTTAGCAAGCTTTCTTTTCTCATTAGATCAATTACGACTGAGTAGTGAGTTCGATCCACACCGAGTACTCCATACTTTCAATCGTTGGACACTTCAAAGTGGTGTAATGGTTAGAGAACTTATCTCGTTAAATCAGTTACGATTGTGTAGTGAGTTCGATCGTCACTGGATACTCCACACTTTCGGCCTTGTGCCACATCTAAGCTAAGCTTAGAAAATCATTTAGTTAGCAAGCTTGTTTCGCTAGATCAATTATGACTGAACTAGTGAGCTCGGACCTCACTGTTTTATAATGTCGGCCTAGTCTCATCACATCTAAGCTAAGCTTAGAAAATCATTTAGTTAGCAAGCTAGTTTCGCTAGATCAATTACGACTGAACTCGTGAGCTCGGACCTCACTATTTTATAATGTCGGCCTAGTCTCATCACATCTAAGCTAAGCTTAGAAAATCATTTAGTTAGCAAGCTAGTTTCGCTAGATCAATTACGACTGAACTCGTGAGCTCGGACCTCACTGTTTTATAATGTTGGCCTAGTCTCCTCACATCAAAGCTACGCTTAGAAAATCATTTCATTATCAAGCTTGTCATGCGAGATTAGTTACGACTAAATAGAGAGTACCCCATACTTCCGGCCTTGTACCGCATCTAAGCTACGCCTAGAAACTCACTATATACTTAGGTACTAAAAGTTTATCTATATATATGCTCCATTTGTTCAGGTGAAATAGTCCAGATGGGCTTAAATAGTGGGCCTACTCGATTATATGTAGTCATTTCGGAGAATTGCAGTGTATATGTACGTATCCGCGATTCTTCCATCTAATCAACAATGGTCAAATAAATATACCGGCACCTGTAGATCCGATTTGGGGCGGCCACGTAACAGAGACGCTTTCCAAGGTTGAGTATTGGAAGAGCAGCATCTGGAAATTGTACAGCGAAAGGAGTTTTTTTTTTTTAATTAGTAATTTTTCCTTATTTGTGTCATGCTTGTATATATACAAGCCATTTGGTTCATTCCTGAAATAGTCCACGGATCATTGAGCGTTAAACCGGTAACTCGGTCGGCCCTAACGTCTTCCGTGATCGGCAATTAATAGTTGTGTTAAGAACATCAAGAATAAGTAAAAGGATATTCATTATCCGCGGATAGGCTTGAAATATAAATGTTACTGCAAGTTTCCTTCGTCGACTTTTAAATATCTAATTAACAATGTATGTCAAACTGCCTATACCGGCACAACAATGAACTAGAATCCGATTTCATTCGGTTGTAACATCCACTTCATCATACTGGCTTTCTGTATATGTTGAGAGATATATCTAAATCGACGTCAAAAGATAGATAGATAGATAGATAGATAGATAGATAGATAGATAGATAGATAGATAGATTTTTTTTTTTTAGATAGATAATTTTAGATTAGATTTAGATTTGAATTGACATAGAAATATAGATTAGATAGATAGACAAGATAGATAGATAGATTTGATTCTCTGATAGATAGATAGATAGATAGATAGATAGATAGATAGATAGATTGAATTGCGTTAAACCGATAGATAGATAGATAGATAGATAGATAGATAATAGATAGATTTTTGAATGATCGGCAATTAGATAGATAGATAGATAATTTGAACATCAAGAAGATAGATAGATAAAATAGATAGATATTAGATTTAAATCCGCGGATAGATAGATAGAAATATAAATGAATTACTGATAAGACAGATTTCCTTCGATAGATAGATTTTAAATAACTTCAGGTTAGATAGATAGATAGATATGATAGATAGATAGGACTGCCTGATAGATTAGATAGATCATGTCATAGAATGAACTCGTAATCCGTCTTATTTCATTTTGAATCTGATAGATAGATAGATAGATAGATATCCATTCATATATTTGAATTGACTTTAGACTAGATATATAGATTAGATAGATAGATATATTTAAATCTGATCAAAATAGATAGATAGATAGATAGATAGATAGATTTGAATAGATAGATAGATATAGATAGATGAATTTGAATTGACTCTGATAGATAGATAGATAGATAGATAGATTTGAATTGACTTGAATAGACAGATAGATAGATAGATAGATAGATAGATAGATAGATAGATAGATAGATAGATAGATTTGAATTGACTCTGATAGATAGATAGATAGATAGATAGATAGATAGATAGATAGATAGATTTGAATTGACTCTGATAGATAGATAGATAGATAGATAGATATAGATAGATTTGAAATTGACTCTGATAGATAGATAGATAGATAGATAGATAGATAGATAGATATAGATTTTGAATTGACTCTGATAGATATAGATAGATAGATAGATAGATAGATAGATAGATAGATAGATAGATTTGAATTGACTCTGATAGATAGATAGATAGATAGATAGATAGATAGATAGATAGATTTGAATTGACTCTGATAGATAGATAGATAGATAGATAGATAGATTTGAATTGACTCTGATAGATAGATAGATAGATAGATAGATAGATAGATAGATATATTTGAATTGACTCTGATAGACAGATAGATAGATAGATAGATAGATAGATAGATAGATAGATAGATTTGAATTGACTCTGATAGACAGATGATAGATAGATAGATAGATAGATTTGAATTGATAGATAGATAGATAGATAGATAGATAGATAGATTTGAATTGACTCTGATAGATAGATAGATAGATAGATAGATAGATAGATAGATAGATAGATAGATAGATAGATTTGAATTGACTCTGATAGATAGATAGATAGATAGATAGATAGATAGATAGATTTGAATTGACTCTGATAGATAGATAGATAGATAGATAGATAGATAGATAGATAGATTTGAATTGACTCTGATAGATAGATAGATAGATAGATAGATAGATAGATAGATAGATAGATAGATAGATTTGAATTGACTCTGATAGATAGATAGATAGATAGATAGATAGATAGATAGATAGAATAGATCTGATAGATAGATAGATAGATAGATAGATAGATGATAGATAGATAGATAGATTTGAATTGACTCTGATAGATAGATAGATAGATAGATAGATAGATAGATTTGAATTGACTCTGATAGATAGATAGATAGATAGATAGATAGATAGATAGATAGATAGATAGATTTGAATTGACTCTGATAGATAGATAGATAGATAGATAGATAGATAGATAGATAGATAGATAGATAGATAGATAGATATGGACTGAATGAGGGGGACTAGCAGTTTGAAAAATAAACAGAAGCTCAATTTGGAAGCTTACATATTGAACGAAGAAAAATGTTTCGCATCAAATCGACATAAAAAGTGTTAAAGAATTGTTTGGAAATCATTCTTCCCCAAAAATTAATTAGTGAAACTCGCTATGCGCAAAACAAACAGAAATGAATTCTGACAATGCGAAAAAAAAAACCCCAAAAAACGTCTGTTTCCCTTTACATTGTTTTTTAATAAAGACTAAAAAAAAACAAAAAACAAAGCAGTGTTTCTTGTACTTAAAACAGTTGCTTCTACCATTACTGCTGCTGCTGCTGCTGCAGTTCGGGTAGTAGCAGTGTTGTCGGCATCGGCAGTAGTACACATGGTGAGACGCGGTGGCAGGTTCATTCTAAACATGTCTGGGGTAGAGTGTACCGACCCTGTACGCACTTTTCTCTGGTTCAGCTTTTAAAAGTACTTGTGACTACCAAGTCGCTAGACGTAGTAACAAGCCAGACAGACCGGACGTATAAAAGTCGACAATTTGACCTAAAGAAACAAGTAACTGCCAGGCGTGTGCAGCCTTTAAAGACACACCAACCCACCCATTTTACGTATATATATATATATATATATATATATATATATATATATATATATATATATGTGTGTGTGTGTGTGTGTGTGTGTGTGGACCTAATTAGGGTGAATGCTGATAAGGTGCGTGCGTACGAATGTAGATGTATTTAAAAGCATTCTAACAAAGTGTTTGGCGGGTTGGTCATTAAATCCTATTACATTCCTGTCTGTCTGATTGTCCGCTCGTCCCCACCCACCTCTCTCTGTCTAAAAATGATCTTCTTCTTGTATGTGCCGTGTCCCTTCAGGACGTGGGCAATCATGGCTCTCCCCCAATTCCCTGTTGTCTGCAACTCGTAGTTTGTCGTTTTGCTGTCTCTCCCAATCCCTATTCTTCCAAACATTTTTCACGTGCTCGTTAGGCAGGGGTTATGCGCTGTTTTTCTCTGTCTCTTTTTGTCTGTGACTATCAAATTTCTAAAACCTCTTTCCTCATTATGTGTTTTCTTTTCGAGGCTAAATATAATTGTCCTTCTGTTGCCATTTTGACTAAAATTTATTGCGATATGCTCAGTCCGTGGTATCCTCAGCATCCTTCTGTAGAACCAAAGTTTTGTTGCTCCAAGTCTCTTCTTCATCAGTGACGAAATTGTCCAGTTGACTGATATTACATAGCAGTTTAGTAGGCCTGGTTTCTAACAACGTTTTCCTGTTTCTTCATACTTTGCTCAGCCTCTGGAAGGCTTCTTTCGCTATCCCAATGCGCCTTCGGATTTCGGTGTCACACTTTCCGTCCTTTGTTAAAACACTTCCCTGATATTTAAATTTCCCTGTTTCTTAATACTTTGCTTAGCTTTTGGAAGGCATCTTTCGCTATACCAATGCGCCTTCGGATTTCGGTGTCACACTTTCCGTCCTTTGTTAAAACACTTCCCAGATATTTAAATTTCCCTGTTTCTTAATACATTGCTTAGCTTCTGGAAAGCATCTTTCGCTATCCCAATGCGCCTTCCGATTTCGGTGTCACATTTTGCATCTTCTTTTAAATGTTAAAATATATAAATAGTAAAGACCTCACGAAAAATAGATGTATTTCTAGGTTTTGCACCTGTAGCCTACATATTATACACCTACCCTGCTGAAAGCCAAAATTCTCTCATTTCATTAAATTCAAGCGAAAAGATTTGTCTGCTGAAGTTTTAATGGAATTCTTAAAAATAAATACATCCACACCCACATACATATATATATATATATGTGTTGTGTGTGTGTGTCTGTGTTTGTTTAGGCAGTAAATTCTCTTTTAAGCACGTCTGATTAAATAGATTGCAAATATTATGTCTGCTTATTTTTAACATAATCCGTTCATATTCACGGATATTTTTCCGTGTATTACAAGAAATGATGCAAGAAATGTACTGTAACAGTGAAAATCACTATTAATTCCCAAGCACTTTCTATCCCTTTCCAGGATCATCATCCGAGGTGCAACTAGTAAGGCTAAAACTATGTGTAGATAGCCATTACTGAATTGCTTTTCTTTTTGCGTTTAAATGCAATGGTTGACAGTTTTGCTTTAGTGTTCATCAGAACGTGAAACATTAGCCACTGTAGAATAAAACATAGAGTAGGACGTCTTGATAATGTAGTTGTCGTATATCCAACATATATTATACAGAATTTAATTAACTGAGCACAAATTAATAACTCTACAAAAAAGATTTCTACACTAATATATTAAGCAGACTCTCATTAATAATCATTAATAATGACTTCCCAAAGCATATTGTAGATGAACAAATAAGACGATATATATATATATATATATATATATATATATATATATATACTCAACACACGTCAAATAGAATATAGTACTTCCCAAAGGACACTAAATATTGTAACCAGATGCATGCTAACTATAAACAGGATGATAAAACCATAAAAAAATCTCATTCGTACCAATATATCTCCCATAGATCCTAATAAAAAAAATAATCACATATTATACAAAATGCAACACAAGCAATTTAATTATTCGCAATAACTCCTCCCCACCAACTGATATATTACATAAAACCAACATTATATCTCAATTCAAATGTCGTTTGGGAGAATGTATCTCTGACAGAAAAACAAATATATATGTTGGTTAAACGACAACTAGATTATCAAGATGTCTTACTCTACACTTGCCTGACCCTTCGTCCATTGCGAGACATTTACACCAAAATTCCTGCCCTCGTTTGCAGTATAGAAAAATACTGACTGATAACACAACTATCCTATACCAAGTAAATAACAAATTCAAACTACAGATCCTCGAAGCAATCTACATTAAAATAGAAATTGAAGCCGACACTGAATAGAATCAGCTATGAATACTGTAGTAATGTTCTAAAATGTCTATAAAAAGAACAGTTTTTAAGCTTTAATGCACGCATGACCATGACATTCTATCATAAAAGAAAAAAAAGCACTGCATAATTTTTCAACGTTCTAGCGAACGCTAAAGCAAAACTGTCAGCCGTTGTATTTAAATGCAAAAAGAAAAAAAAAATTCTGTATTAGTTAGCTACACATAGTTTTTGCCTTTCTAGTCGCACACCTGATAATGTTCTCAGAAATTAATTAGGAAATAAAAGTGATTTTCACTCTTACAGTGCATTTCTTTTATCATTTTTTATAACACACAGAAAAATATCCGTGAATATGAACGGATTATGCTAAAAATAAGCAGATTTAATGTTTGGAATTTATTTAATTATATATATATTTATATATACACACAGTGGGGTTGAATAAGTGATCGTACAGCAAACAAATGTTATATATGTATTTTGGGGCATAGAATCAGGATCTGCAATTTAAAATTAGAAATTCATCGATAAGTGATAGTTATGCAAATTGTTATATTTCGAATAGTGCAAAAAGTTTTCGTACAGCATCAATTTTTGCCATATAATACAGTAGATTTTGGTTGTACTTCAAAGTAGAAGATTCTAAACTGTTCTAGAATATTCTCGGTAACTCTATTGCAACATTCAGTTCAAAATTGGATCATTCTGCAGTCACTGTTCACTGATAACGGTCCTAACAATGGCTAGACGTAAGGAAATAATTTGTGCCCAAATAGAGCTAATTATTTAGCTATGGAATAATGGAAAAAGTTACAGAAACATCTTCAGTGACACGAACATACCTTTTTCAACAATTGGTTCATTTATTGCAAGATTTAAAAGACGTAATACTGAGAATAAAGGCAGACCCTTTGATCCCAGGAAGATCTCTCGTAGATTACGAAGAAGGTTGATACGACAGGTCCAAAATAACCCAATGGCCATCAGACAAGACCTTCAGAATGATCTGAGTTTGTCAGAAGTTAACATAACTAAGTAATCGATTAGTAATGAAATACGCAGAGACGGTATAAAGTCGCGCTCCCCAATGAAAGACACCACTCCTACTGAAACGGCTTAGAAATGCCAGGTTGAAATTTGCGACAGAGCATAAAGATAAGGAAAATTCTTATGTATGGAGGAAAGATGGTGAAGCATACGCACCCAAGAACACCATATCAACTGTCAAATTTGGTGGGTGTAGTATCATGGTTTGGGACTGCTTTTCGATGTGAAGTGTTAGCAAACTAGCAATTATAGACGGCAAAATGAATGCAGAAAAATATCAATAAATCCTAAGCGAAAATTTATTGCTTTCTGTAGAGAATCTTGGGCTTCCTCCTGATTGGATCTTTCAGCAGGACAATGATCCCAAGTATACTGCTAAGAATACGAAGAATTGTCTTGCTAATAACAACGTTAACATCTTACAATGGCCCAGTCAGTCGCCGGATTTGAATCCAATAGTAAATTTATGGTGGTTTTTGAAAAATAAGATCCGTGATAGAGGTCCAACAAACATCAAAAACTTGAAGAGAATTACCCAGGAAGAATGGGACAAAATACCTACTAAAGTATGCGAATCGTTAAATTAATTAAAGACTACAGGAAGAGATTCGTTGCTGTTGAACTTAAAGGCTTTGCTATAAAATATTAAATGGAGAAAACATGTTTTTGTTCTGCTGTACGATCATTTTTAAAACCGCTAAATAATTTAAATATTGCAATATTTTCTTAACCATGGAATATTATTTAGTTTTATATGCATAGATTTTTAGTATGCAATCTGATACAGTAGATATCGTCCCATTTTGTTCATTTAATATGTTACAAATAAAAATATAAAATACTTTCATGAGTACGATCAATTATTCAACCCCACTGTATATATATATATATATATATATATATATATATATCCAATTTTAACAATATCATCTGAAATATGTGGGAACCAAAAATGTCCATAAGAATAATAATTCTGAAGCAGAAGCAAGTATATATAATATATCGGAGAAACACAAACATAACAAAAAAGTATCTATGAACGCAAAAATGTTCGTATGCATAACAATTTGCAAAATGCATTAGTCATACCCAGAAATTATTTCAACCACAACTTCTATTTATAGAGTACCATACTTATTAAAGGAAAAATACTTTTTTTTAAATTTACTCAGATGGAAAGTTCTTGAGAGTGCTACAATTGAATCTTGCCAAAATATAAATCTACGCCTCGTCTATTTTCAGATATCTCATTTCCTAAAATGCACACATCATTCTCAAGCCAACACACATGACCACAAACTATTTAAAAATAATAAGAAAACGGTTAAATCAAAACCTTCTATTATTTTAAATAAATAATTAAATTTCTTAAATTAAAATAAAATAATAAATGACAATTACATTATAAAAAAAAGATTCAAC